ACACCCTTCTCTACAACACAAGTAAATGCTAGCTATATATATACCCTTCTCTACAACACAAGTAAATGCTAGCTATATATACACCCTTCTCTACAACACAAGTAAATGCTAGCTAGATATACACCCTTCTCTACAACACAAGTAAATGCTAGCTGTCTATACCATTTTTACAAGGCAGTACTTCATGCTAGCTATCCCTCCTTTTAAACTGATGTCAATCAACACCTGTTTTCACTAAGCAATCACAAATGATGGTGTCAATTAGCCTTCATTAAACCCCCTAAAATAAGTACTTAATTTAAAAGTGATTGAGTGAGATTTGTGTCAGGTATTACTCCCACACTCCCTAGCCATCTGTTACTCAAGGTCATTGGAGGGTTTGTCTACACTGTGATACTGGAGAAAAAAAACCCAAATCTTCAAAGTTTTATCACTGTGAAATACGCAATTGTATTTTGCTTTTATAACTCAACAGTCTTACTCATCTCATAAACTCATCGCTTTATAAAATTTCTTAAAATTCAATGGTCTTTCTCTCATTACTTTATTTAAATAAACCTAGTCACTATCTTATGAACCCATTGCTCCTCCTAAAAATCCCGTGGAGGAACATATCTAGTCATAAAAAGCTACAAATCCGTCAGGGCTAAATTCTTTTCAGATGAACCTAATCCATGAACCTCCCCAAACCCTTGGTGGACATCATTAATATTACCAAATGGTAAAACTAGTGTGCATCTGGTTATCTCTGTTTCCAACCAGCACCATCATCAGTAGAAATAATAAAAAGCCATTGTTTATTATAGTAATTAGACTAAACAACAGGTCCAGCCCTATAAGATATCTTTGTCTCTCCTACTAACATAGCTGGAAACTTAATATATATCATCCTCAAGTGATATTAAACTGTTAATGAAGACCATCAAGTTCATCAACAAAATAAGAAAATTTCACCACTAAACAATTGGCGTTTGTTTCTATTACAAAGTTTTAGTTATGACAACCTTAAAGTGGTCCAATTAAAGAACAGCAATATTATTTCTGAGAGACTTAATCCTCAGCTGATTTGGATATATTTGTGGTTTAGGCTAAGGTTGTGTACAGGATGATTAGATAGGTAAAAGTACATGTGTTGAATGATAGGCTCCAATGTATTAGAGTAAAGTACAACTGGGAGAGGTCATCTATTGGTGGTCCTGACAGCTCCTTACTAGTCAGCATCATCAGCATCTCATAAATAACCCCATGCTCACTTTAATAAGAACAATGATTAAATGTTACTAAAACACTGAGACGTAAGAGTACATGAAAGATATTGGGGGAAAATTGAAGTCCTAATGTTGAAAGCTTGTGTGTAGGCGCTAAGACAAGTATCCCTTGGGTCTGTGTATCAGGTATTGCCAGCCTCAGCAGCAGAGGGAAAAGCATTTGACCAGGTGATAGACAGTACCCATTAAACCTGTGCACCAACTGCTGTGTTAAGGGAGGATAATACACCTGGGGGGCTGCCAAATTCTTCCCTCTCCAGGACTACAGAATGACTCAAGGACTCCCAAATAATTAATACTGTATGATGGATGAAAAAAAATCAACACTTGCATGGCTTTCCCTTCTCCCAGATTACCCTATTCTTCACTTAACAGTAAAAAAAACATGTACACTGTTGTAAATTGCTTTTAATTTGCTGAGATGTGTTTTCTTCTGTCACCTTCAAATGTAAAACAAATATTTGTTTAGCAGTGAGAAAGCTAGGAAAGATTAGAGCACTATGGGTGATAATGTGCTGTCAGAGATAGCTCCAGGCAAATTTCAGTGTAACATGTCAGATGGAGAAATACCCACTGTGCTCCACCATGTCATTTATTTTTGGTGTGAGCGTTATGGCAGTGCCTCTCTGATGTTAGGACCTTAGAGCGACCTCTGATGTATACAGAGGACATAGACTACACAGGGAGAAATACCCACTCAACATTTTACAAGCTTTTCATGTCTTGTCATTATAGCTGAGCCACAAAGACCCTAGGTCAAAGAGACAACTGATATGTACATAGGACATCTACTTTATATTACAGGGAGAAATAATTGCTGTCTAAAACAATATATTTGCACCTCATTTCTTGACAGCCTTACAAAACACAGGGCCTAGTGATCCCTGACATAAACAAAAGACATACAAATACCCACTCTCTTCCTTTAGACTGAATTATGAAATATCCTGAGTCAGCAAAAAGAAAATAGGTCACAACAACCCACATATACTTTAATGTAATACAACCTACATATTGTTTGTCATCAAGCATGAATTGGAGATGATGCTTGAAAGATTTAAAATACAGGAAAATTTATGTGATCATTTCAATATTGGGCTGGCTTTATTCTTATCATGATGTATTAAACCATTTGTATGAAACCACCACTGTTTTCCAGGTGTAAGAACCTCAAAGTTAGTCAAGTATCATCCAATAACAATGCAGTCTTAATCTAAACCATCTGATCACTCTTTCTGAAGGAATTCAGAAAAGTTGTGTAAAATGATGTGTAACAATCAAAGAACATCTCTATACGGTAACTGTTAATTGATTGGTAAATACCCAACAGTGATAAAAAAACACAACGAAAAGTAAAAGTTTGATGGAGAGGTTGGATAGTTTGTAAAGCTGAGCCCTTGTATAAATAATATACAGATGACTTGGTGGTTGTGTATGTTTGATGTGATATCCTTGACTCGAGTGTTATTGTAGATGTACCTATCAATGCCTACTCTACATTATGGAAACAATTGGATATTAATTGCTATTGTACGCAGGACTGAAATGATCATAAACTTATATTTATAGAAAACAATTATAGCACTTAGACATATTGTCTTAGTAAAGACAAACATGGAACTTCAGTAGACATTTTTTATCTAGGCTGTATTGGGCAAATGACACATAATGACATAGGTACAACTCAGCATTTAATGGTGGTGTGGGGGGATGGGGATGGGGGATGGTCTGATGACAAATAGACGTCCTCCACTGTTGGAAGTCTGATGACAAACAGAAATTCACTACAGGGGGAATTTGATGACAAACAGAAATTCCCTACAGGGGGAATCTGATGACAAACAGTAGCCCCCTATAGGAGGGAGTCTGATGAAAAATGACAGTCCCTAACTGGGGAGATTCTGATGACAGTGGTCCCCTATAGAGCAGACTGATCACAAACAGTAGCCCCCTATAGGAGGAGTCTAATAAACAGTTGAAGCAAGGTATCGTTGAGAAAATGGTACAGCTTTAGCTCTGTTACATGTCAATGACACTTGTGTTGTTATCAAACACTAAGCACAAGGTTCACCTTGTGCAGAGAATTACAATGTAATCAAGGTCAAGTATGTTATTACAGACATAAAGTTCTTCAAGTCGCCATTTTTTGTCAGCATCACTGCTGATGAACCAGTGCAGGCAAAAGGCTGATACAGCTGATCTATAAGTAACTACTTATATAAGCTTTTCCACATTTCTCTCTCAGCAGAACATCTGGCAATTCCATCACTACAAGCAACTTCAACATTCAAGTCTAAGTTGGCAACCTATAAGCACCTCCAAGATACATCAAAATGAAACTGTTGTGGATAATTCCGCCACTAGGCAGGCTGCCAATTTCAGACCTTGACAAGAACACTGTGTAATCTGAATACAATGTTTAGAATTAAAATTGATCAACAACCGGGGGAAATTGTGACCTAAATAAGTTTCCTAGGCCATTGTTTGTTCATAGCCTGTGTTATCCTTAGTTATTGCATAATAAATAGGATGGGAATGTGTGCTGTGCATGGACTGCCGTTTGTGGCTACTTCTGACACCAGGCAGTCGGCTACTGTTTACTGTATACAATGTATCAGCTGGAGAACATTTTTACGGCTACACATTCTCAGCAATCTGACTTTCAAACCTAATGTGCAGCTACCAAATTGAAAATATTTTAGACTGGAAGCGAAAAGGGACTTCTTTATCAAAGGCAGTATCTTGGAGAATTCATATTGTCCTGAACTTTCCAATTCAAACTGAAATATAACTTAGACTCAAAGTTGATATTTACAACACTATCCAATGTAGTCTTGCTGAATTCCTATAATTGTACTGAAGGTTAGAATTCAAGAATTTTGTAACAGATACTGTATAATTGAATTTCTTTGAAACAACCTGAACTTATCTACAAATTAAAACCTATATTATCCTGGAGCAACAATGCAATACATAAAGATAATATTTATTACAGTGCTTTAAGTGCAGTCAGATGTAATCGTGGAGCTCGGCCATACATACTTAAAAGAACCCCTGTATAAAGATGCATGCAGTAGAAACTATAACCAGCCACAGTGCTTCACCAACAATTCCACTACACATGTCACACATTACACTGGGTGAACTTCAGTCTGGTTCGTCCCACTTTCAACATCGTTGGTGTGGGATCTCTAATGTGACAAGTGGTTGTGTTTCACATCTTCGCTCAACACAACATTTCAATGGTATGTTTGGAGTATATCCTTAGCAGATAATTCATTTTTGACAAGGTGGAAAGTAATATTTGGTTTGCATCATTTTACACAATATCCATTAAGATAAGAATTAGACGAGAAAAGTGAAAGTGGGGATCTTAAAAGCTATGTGGTAGTCGCCTGTTTCTTCACTCCTGGATGCATGCAATGGTTTATTGAAGTGTGGTTACAACGATTTCCGAAATATCATGTTTTTGTTATCCTTTTTTCAGAGTAAGCCATCAGTGAACTGAAGCTAAAGTGCAATTTTGACAGCCATATCTACTTCTGCACCTTCAGGCAATCTCAGTGTCAATATCCCATTTAGGATCCTCACAACTCTTGCAAGCAATGCCAACACCAACACCAGTAACATCAGAGCAGATAACCTTTAAGCATTTTGATGACAAGGATAGGATGGTTTGTAAGTCATGTACTACTGTGATAATAGTGGTGGGTAATGGATGGAGACACTTACCTTCGCCCGTTCTAGATGTTTTCTCTGCTCCGCAAATGCAGGTGGTGTTTTCAGAGCTGGCAAATACATACAGATAGAGCATGAACCTTCATTATCTGGTGAAAATCTTCCAAACCATGCATACCAAACACAAATCACTAACATTTCCTACAGACCGGCCAAACAAGCTTCAACATTACCTGTTGTTTAGATAGGGCTACAAAAATCTCCTATACAATGAGTAACTACATATTAAACTAATTTCATTTTCCCTTGTTTTGTTTATTGTCTTTAAACCCGGCAGAAATGACTGTTAAAGGATTTTTCCAGTTAACTGATTAAAATTTCAGATATGGCTGATTTTCCCAGGGAGGATGTAAAAGTACACAAAGGATATAGTCCCTCCCTGGTGATATCACACAGGGCGGCTTACTTACGAGGATAAATGCCCTGATCGACCAGCTCTGTCACAGACCGCCTCATCAGCAGCTTACGCTTTAGAGCTGTAACAAACATTGACAAACAGAGATGTACCACCAAAGATATCAAACATAAAATCCATAGGATGTAATTTATATGAAACTGAATCAAACTTAGTGTCAGATTAGAAGAAAGGGTATGAACTGATTTTGACAAAAAACGAAAGAGAGAGAGAGAGAGAGAGAGAAAGAGAGAGAGACAGAGAGAGAAAGAGAGAGAAAATCCAATTTGAACTTCCACAATTCCACTTGAGTTTTATCAACACACTAGTAAGATGAACTCACATTCTTTATTTTTGTCCATGCTTTGTTGTAGTGACATTTCCTCCAACAGAATCTCTGGACTGATAGGTTGTTCTGAAGGGGTATCTGTGGTGTCCCCACCCCCCTCAGGACTGTCTCCCCCTGCGGCTGCGGCAGCTGCTTTGGCCTTCTCCTCCTCCATGCGACAGTCCTTGCAGTAGAACTTGTGTATGTATTGGATGGCCTCCTGGTCTAGGTGTGTCCCTCCCCCATACAGGGGGGCCCAGCCTGAACCACTGCTCGAGTCTGTAACACACAAACATAGCAAACATCATATATACAGTTGAAAAGGTGGGTGGAGGCAGGAAACATTTTACATTAGTATACTGGAAGTCTATCATCCATACTGGAACTGTATTTTATTATGGAAGTGTCAATGTTGTATGACAAACACGTAATTGACAATATTCATTGCAGTCTATTTCTGTCATATATCAACACTGGCCCCTGTGTCAATCTCCATTAAACAATGCAATATACTTAGTCTTTAAAAACAATGGCCTCTCAGTCAGTCTACATTTTAGCATAACAATACCCCTTTGCCTCTCTCAACATCTACATATATTGTATAAGTATTCATAAACACTGGCCCCTGTGTCCCTCCCCATATTATCATACATTGTACTTCAGTCTGTATAAACACTGGCCCCTGTGTCACTCCCAACATTACCATACATTGTACTTCAGTCTGTATAAACACTGGCCCCTGTGTCCCTCCCAATATTATCATACATTGTACTTCAGTCTGTATAAACACTGGCCCCTGAGTCCCTCCCAACATTATCATACATTGTAATTCAGTCTGTATAAACACTGATCCCTGTGTCCCTCCCAACATTACCCTAAAATGTGTTTTAGTCAGTGTCTACAATTCAACCTCATGGTTTTATTTCTGTATTGGTAAAGAATGAGGAGTGATTATGCTGAAGCAGTATCAGAAAAAGGTATGTCTTATCTCTTGTGAAGATTGGTAAATAACTAATGTCTTTCTTAGTGATCAACTTTACCAAGAATTTCTTCCAAAACCAGGAAGGGCTAGCACTGTATTAGTATAGAAAGCAATCTTTATCAAGAAGCAGCTTTCACAGATAAACCATTCAAGTGTAAATCAATCATATAAACAAGACGTGGAGAAATGATAGAAAGTTTATTTACTCCATTGGGGATTGGTACTTTCTCTGAACCCAGAGGGAAGGTTAAAGATGATAAAAAGACATATTTTATCATCATGCCAGCAGAGAGTTATCACCTAGATCACAGTTCCCTCCTAACAGCTCCCAAAACATACCCAAATCACCAACATAACACAACTCTCTCCTAGCAGATCCCAAAACATACCCAGATCACCGACACCACACAACTCTCTCCTTACAGATCCCAAAACATACCCAGATCACCGACACCACACAACTCTCTCCTTACAGATCCCAAAACATACCCAGATCACCGACATAACACAACTCTTTCCTAACAGATCCCAAAACATACCCAGATCACCGACACCACACAACTCTCTCCTTACAGATCCCAAAACATACCCAGATCACCGACATAACACAACTCTCTCCTTACAGATCCCAAAACATACCCAGATCACCGACATAACACAACTCTCTCCTTACAGATCCCAAAACATACCCAGATCACCGACATAACACAACTCTCTCCTAACAGCTCCCAAAACATACCCAGATCACCGACATAACACAACTCTCTCCTAACAGCTCCCAAAACATACCCAGATCACCGACATAACACAACTTTCTCCTAACAGATCCCAAAACATACCCAGATCACTGACACCACAACTCTATCCTAACAGATCCCAAAACATACCTAGATGAATGACTTTCATACCCCATTAATGCTGTGTCAGTTTTCCTTTGAAAATAACAAGTGCTAAGGTAGTGAACAGTTAACTACATTAAATCAATATGATTTACCACATAACTACATTCATATTGTAATTAGGTAGTTCGATAGATTAGTAGGAGTTTTAATCATAAAATTCATTACTGATTAACTCAAACTAGTCTTTTGTCCCAAAAGGATTGTAAGCAAGATGTCAAATCCTAATTTCTAAGCAGCATCTTTACTATAAGGAATTTGAACAATAAAGACATGTTACCTAAGTTTACCAACGATTCTCTGTACTAATTAGCTGGAAATGAGGGGGGCTTTGAAAAGGTCATGTGATCTGTCAGGGCTATCTGGCATGTGATGTGATACATGTCTCCTGGGAAACATTATGGCAGGCTGCCCTACCTGGTGTTACATGTGTTCTCAACTTACATCTTAATATATATACCACACACAATATCAATTTGTATATTCTCTTGGGCATCTCCTACCCGATTAACTACTGAAATATCAATTTGTACAGTATACCTCTCAAGCCTCTCTCACTGAAAGGAATTATTTTGTCTGTTTTTGAAGCTATGCTAAAGATAAAGAGTGTTTTGTTATGACTGACCGAAAATCAAGTGTCTTTACTTAAAATGACTTACCAGTGTATTTTGTTGTTAAGAGAAAATTACAGTAAACTACATAAACATTAAGACAATTTTCTGTGTTTTTTTTTATGTGCTGGACAGGTGTTTTCTCCACAAGGCCTTTGGAAGCACTGACCAGCATGATAAACACTGGAAGGTTTCAACCTCCTTTGCCAGCAGTACATACAGAACATATGGTGCCTATCTCCCAAACTTTGTTTAAAAGTGAACTCCGTCTGATGCTTAAACAAAACCTGAGCTATCCAAACAGAAGACGTTATTTATTTTGTCATACTTCTGTAATTTCCTGCTGGCCACCTTTTAAATTTTGTGGAAAGTGTATGAAAAATTGGTAATTTCTGATCAATTGATTTCAAATAGACTTTGAGTTAATGTAAAAAAAAAGAGTTCAGAAAATGGTGCTCTTGAAGTTTTCTTATGTTTCATAATGATGAGCTTGTGTTTTCATCATCTTAGGGGACCAGACAACCTTCAGATGAGAGGGGTTGTAAGAAGTAGTCTTTTCTAAGCATCCATATTGTCTTGCCATTCATATTTTCTATTGGAAGTCTTGGCAGTACAAAAGCTACACACTGTACAACAGTGGTGTTATGTGGCCATGTAATTTACCTAGGCAACCAAAGGAGAACATCAATTATTCCTGGCTGCAAACATGTTTTGTCAGATGGAGATGATGAGGCTGTATTTGACCTACAATGACTGGCCAGACTTCATAATCCTTTACCTTCATACAGTAAGAGTAAAAATAATCCACAAAGAATATATTTAACAACTAACCACTATATATACATTACTAATTTTCTCTTGCACTGGAGAAAATGTTTCCCTTTGATAAAAAAATCCTTTTCTTTTTTACTACATCAATCATTCTTGGTTGTTTGTTAAGAAAATCAAAATAGATATTTTCTTTTTCCGAAATTTCTATTGACTGAATGTCCTGTCATAAAGAAAACCACTATTTTATTCTCTGAAACCTGTGAATATCATCTTCATGGTGTTCTTATTTAAGTATGAATGACATTTTACCCCTTCAGGATTGTAAAGTTTTCTAGTCACCATGGTTTTCTGGTCACCATGGTTTTCCTGATTTGTATTGGCCTAAAACCCCACAATAGTAGATATACTCCAAGACTGGTGTACTTAGTGATAGGTAATTACATAAGGATGCTCACTGTATTCCCAAACTAATGCTAAAACAAAAATGATTTGTCACAAAAAGACACCAAGATTTCTATAAAGGCAACAGAATCAACATTTTTAATTATGATCTGGTCCCTAGACATGACAACTTGAGTGACCAATTTCCTCTTCAACTTACGAGACCACAAATTATTCCCGTTAGTACTTTGAAGCTTTATGATGACTAAGATCAGACAAAGCTTTCTAATGACAAAGATCACTCTCAAAGATCCAATCAGCTGCCAGTAAGTGATCAAACATCAGAGTAGAGATCTGGATAATAACATCCCTGACAGAGAAAGGAGTGGAGATAGACCACAAAGCAGCTGAACATTCTGTGTTCACATGGCAACATGACCACAAACATTGGTGTGCCAGAGTTCCAGAAATGGCTATCACAAACACTGAACATAAGCCTAATTTGGCACACATGTCATTGCCTTTTATCCATGAAATTGTTTACTATTTTTATAAATGGAAAACATCCTGGAAATTCTGTGAGCTATCATAAATAGTGAAAATCCTTCTTTGAACTTTAACATCAGACCATCTTTAACAAAAGAAAATTAATTCCATTTAACAGGATACAACATCCCTCTGCATACTCTTTCACACTCAGCATTTTGATTTTAAACACGAGCAAATAAAATCCTGTAATTATTCCTATACAATAAGATAATTTTTGAATTGTTAAAGATTGTTATAGCTTGTTCTGTTACTATGTACTTGACATTAAACAAAAATATCATCAATCAATTTATTTCAAATTGTGCCTTTAATAAAACTCTTCCCCACATTATGTTTGTAATTACAGAGTAGATGAGGAATTTGATGTACTAGATATGAGAAGTAAGTCAGGTTTCTTGTAAAACTAGAACACAGAGTGACATAAAAGATTTGTGTGATAGAGTTGTTGGCCTGATAACAGAGGTATTTTACATCAGATAGATTCCAAAAACAGAATACACTTACTAAAATCAGCACACAAACATTTCATGGAAATCTTCCGATTTTTTTTTTTTTAAATTCCTCTATAAAACACAGAAAACAAGAATTCTACAACCTCACTCTAAATAGATAAGGTAGAAGTTTCTGTTATTCTTTAGCTCACCGTAATACAACCAAGTACTGATGCTTCAAATTCAGCTGTTTTATATGCACATATATTTACACTATAAATCTGAAGATATCTTGACTTTTGAGTTAATGTTGTTTAACAAAAATAATATATCTGTCTGAAAGTGTTATCAATTGAATTGCTGACTCTGGTTTAACTCCCAGTGGGCTACCGGGATCTAGGAAACATCACACTTCCACTCTAGACCTCTCCCAGTTTTCTGTCTGAGGTGTGGCAACATATTATATATCAAAACTCATTTTGAAGTAAACTCAATGCTTAAAATTTGAAACAAAATATTTGAATTTGATATGCCTGAAAAAAACTGGTTTAAAGAAATGCTTTACTTACAGTGTGTCTAAGGGAAAAGTTTACCTAACATATTAATGTTTTCCAAAATGTTTTGGTAACCTAACATTGTCTTGTGGCTAGATCAA